GAAACTTTAAAATTGCATATCTCTGGAACCAGAAGAGAGCGCCACAAAATTCAAAGTGCTTATTACTTAGGAATGTGCCCTTTATAATATATGTGAAAATGAAAACGATCCGTGAGGTGTAAGTTAATCTGAACATTTACCGTAATTAAATGTAATTAATGCATAATTAATATTTTTAGGTTAACTTACAAATGGCTATGCAATGAGTTTATGTTAATATAGCAAAATAAATCTGGTAAAAATTCTATCAAAAATAGCGTAGAAACAACAACATTGAATACACATTTTTATTAATTGGCTTCATAAAGAATAATAAAATGATAAAATCATATCGAAGCACTTTTATAATGTCCACAAACATTTTGCGGATCTGAAATTACTCGCAACTTTTGGTTCTGGAAATGTGTGAATGTTTATTTATATTTTATATATAAATGTAATTAATGCATAATTAATATTTTTAAGTTAACTTACAAATGGCTATGCAATGAGTTTATGTTAATATAGCAAAATAAATCTGGTAAAAATTCTATCAAAAATAGCGTAGAAACAACAACATTGAATACACATTTTTATTAATTGGCTTCATAAAGAATAATAAAATGATAAAATCATATCGAAGCACTTTTATAATGTCCACAAACATTTTGCGGATCTGAAATTACTCGCAACTTTTGGTTCTGGAAATGTGTGAATGTTTATTTATATTTTATATATAAATGTAATTAATGTGTAATTAATATTTTCAGATCATTTTCAAATGGCTAAGCAATGAGTTGCATGTTTACTTTAATATAGCAAAACAAATCTTGTGGAAATTATATCAAAAATATTACATATTCAATTGAATTGAAAGCATCAGAGTTAGAACCTTAAATAGAAAGCATTAATCAAAGAAGAGAAATATGGTAATAATTTTGTTTATAGATTATATAATAAAAGTTATTTATTTTCTTGGTTCACATTTGAATCAAAATAAGGAAGAAGAATCGGTTAATGATGCTGAATTGCAGATTTTATTAGAGGATCGTATAAAAGTTTATAATAATTTGGCAGCTGCGTTGATTAAAACAGATGCAGCTTTAGAAAATGTGAAACATGTTTCGAGATGTCAACCACAAAATGTTAAAGCACTATTTAGGAAAGATATTGCAAAAATCCTAATCTTTTTCTTATTTACTATATTTTTTTTTAATAAGTTGTATATATTCTTGATTTATATTTTACATATGGAAAATTCAAATATCCTTTTCGTTCCAGGCCTATTTGGTAAAGCTTATGATTAATTTCAAAACAAGTCGATCAGTTTGGCACGGGGCACTTTTAAATTCGAAATTGGTGATCAATATAATCGACGACATAATAGTGTAATTTTTTAATAAAAATAAAATGCATTTTGATTTTCTCGAGAGAATCTACAATATATCTATAAGTACAAGATTGATTTCATAACAAATACTATTTCAAATTATAAATCCTCACAAACTGAATTGCCTCTAAGTACTTGGCTAGTTAACTATTGATTTCATATCTAGTTTTTATTTTTTATTTGTTGGGGTTTTTTTATTTTTTAGAGAAAAACTTTTTAAATAATTATTTTTTAGAGGTAAATATTTTTTTGAACTTTTTGTTGCGAACAAGGGATATTTTTTATGTACTTGGCGTACTTTTTTTAACTTTGTGAGGTTTTTTTAGTGGGTAATATTTTCTTCTCTTCCTATATATATATATATATATATATATATAAAATATATTTATGTCATAAAACAGCATATATTTTAATGATTAGAATAAAAATAATACTCTTTTTGACATATATACCTATACATATAGCACAGAACATTGCAGTTACATTGCAGGAATGTTACAATCTTGCAAGTTGCAATGTAATATTGTTGAGACATTATTGGAACATGTAATTGAAATATTTCATGAAAATGTTACAGCAACATTCCAAAAGCATTACAAAAAACAATATTCGGTAATTGCTAGTTTGTTCATTTACCGCTATGCGCCGCGCATTATCTATCCCGCATTTAAATTTTAGTCACGATCATTATATAAAGTTGCAAAG